CACGAATTTGAGGTCCCGGTGCAAAATGTAAAATGAGGCCCTAAATGTTAAAAAATTCTTACAATTATAACGAGCTAGTATGGCTAGCACATACTCTCACTTAATTATGTAATTTTGAATATTTGTTATTTCACACAACGTTTAGAATTATGCGTGACGACCCGAGGAATAGCCAATCGATTGATAACCGAAAGAAATATCAACCGTTGTTCAAGGTGGTGTGTGTGTGGTTGGCGCGGGTGGCCAAGAGATTTTCACCCAATATGGGTGATAGCATAGTGTTGATCTTTTACGACTTTACTGGTGCCAATATGTTGGCCTTTTCTTCTTCTTTTGTCAGATTGTTTGGCTGTATACATTCTAACTACGCAGTGACCGGGTGTTACTCATTATGCTTTGTATCCACTTAATGCTATATTTTATTAACGCCTTTATAAAAAAAGTACCCAAAATATGAAATTAATGAAACTAATATAATTATTCAATATAGTGTTTGCCAAGATGAACCAACTAGAGATTTTAATTACTCAATATAGTGTTTGTATGTATACTCATTGATATAATTATTCAAGAGAAAAACAACCTAAATTAAATACTAACACTTTGTAGGCGCACATGATAGAGTGATGGATTGATCGGTAATACTGGTTGCTTTGGCTTGCGGCATTTGATGTTAACGCCTATCTTTTCCCATGCATGGTGGCTGCCGTGGTGAGCTGACATAGTTGCATGTTGAGATAAGTGGTTAATAAGGGTATTTTTTTTCATGCATGGTGACATGGTGACTCACATGACATGTCGAGAGAATTAAAGTTAGTGAGAATTAACTATTTAGGTTTATAGGATCACAAAAGATCGTTATGGGCTATGATGCTGACACTTGTGGTTAGTGATGTAGGGTTTCGTTCGAAATCACTTGTATTTGTTTCATAGAAAAACTCTTGCTAACCACCTGATAAGGCCAAGAGCCACTCGACCACTTCAGAAAAGAAAAAGAAAACAGGCAGATATGCAAATTATCTTCCCAGAGCTTCAAGCCAAGTTTTTCATGTGCAAGGCCATGTCTCTATCATCCTCATCAATCAATGGGACCGTTCTAATCCAGAGCCAGCAGCCCCTTTGCCACTCGTTCGTTGCCCGTAGTGCAAGCATGTAATACATGTCAAGTGGTTCATCTCCAAGACAAAGAAAGGACAATCCTCGGAGGCACTTCTCACGTGCGGGCACAAACTGATAATCAGTTACAATTTAGACTATAAACCCACATAGCAGTACAAGTCAAGTTCTTTTTTGCGAGGGAAAAGAGGACTTTATTACTTAAGGCAGAGAGTCCGCCATACAAAGGCTTACAACCTCACTAGTCCCTGATCCAAACCACAATGGAGCAAGATAGAGAAAAAACTCCTATCCCAGTTGATCGAGCTGAACCCACCCACTGCCGGGCAGGTGCATCAGCCTCTTCTTTCTAGTTTCCGACAGGGCTACCCGCACTAGCCTCTGACCTCTACTCCAAAACCTGAACTTCACAGATCCGAACTGTAGGGGAGGTCCTGCGGCAAAATAGCTCGATGCCAGAATGATAAAAAGCTTAACACCTCTTATTTGACTTTTTCACTATTTTGAAATAAGAAAAAGATCCAAATCTAAAATGCAAAACACCGCAGTCCGAGGTGTGCATCTACCATACGCAGCAAGGCCATGGGCGACCTTGTTCTGTGTGTGACTAATATGAGCAATAACTATCTCTCTCGTACTCTCAGCAATCAACCCTTGAATGTCTTCAACCAGTATCGTGAGCATTGATTGATCCCATGTGAGTACAAGTTAAGCTTTACTCCCAATTTTAAGTATCTACACCTTTTATTTTGTTAAAATATTTTAAGTTGCAATATTATTTTAACACTCAAATGTTTAAAGGGAAACAGTGGGGAAGAAAACCACTGCAATTTTTATTGATTTAAAGAAGAATTTAAAAATATTTACAATAGTGAGGCAATAAATATTTACAACAGTGGGAAGCCCAAGCACCTATCTAATGTTACATGAGCAGCTGATCATGGAGCCAAGACAGAAATAGTGGGTCCCCGCAAAAAAAGGACAGAAATAGTGGGGCATTATTTCCTTTTAGTCCTATAATCAAACAGGGAAAGTTCATGAAAGTATATTTGCCTCCATCTTTGAAAGCTTGTCACCTTGGCTCTGAAAATTCTGTTGTTCCTAGACATCCAGATGGCCCAAGTAGAAAAAATGATTATATCCATGAAGAAGGGAACCCTTAATTTCTGCATCAAGCCATGAAACGCCTCCGGGGCTGATGGATTCCTTCCTCTTTGAGGGCAAACAAAATTCCTGCATTCTTTAGAAAAAGGGCAACTCCAAAAAAGATGATGTGGAGTCTCCTCTTGAGCAGAGCCTAGTTTTTTAATCAATTCTCACATTTCTTGGTAATTTAAATGTTATACCTTTTTTTTGAGTCAACTCCAAAAAGATGACAAAGAGTATGAATTTATGACATATTAGAAATAGCTAGAGTTTCAAAATATAATATGTCGGATATGCAACTCAAACTGAAAATCACTAACAAATTCACATATTTTAAAGCATCCACATTATTTTTAACTAAAATGTCAAAGTACCAATTTTAGCTTTTTAATATTTGAATACTTTGAACAATTATGTCAAGCATTCACCAAAACTCACAACTTTTGTTGTCCCTGTCTATTGTACCACAGAAATGACATCACAATACTGGTAGACTTATAGTGTTTAGAAATATTGTTGTTCTTCATAGGACACTGAATTCATTATCTAGAGTCGTGCATAGATGGTAGATGTAGAAGAAGCTATGAAAACATTTAGTTACGGGCCATGATGGGCATATATTTGGGGGAAATATGGCAGGTAGTTTATGCTAAAGGCGTTTAATATATTTTTTTACTTTTTAGAACACGAATGTACTTAACATCCATGTGCCCATGTGAACATAGCCAAGGCTAAAAATGGCATCATTTCTGGGCACACATCCATGAGAATTTACTATATATCAAATATATATTGCTTTTTTAATGTCAAATAATAGCAACAATCTACTAGATGTATATACTTGAACTACGAAATATTGAAGTTGCAAATGCTTGAACTAGACTTGAAGTTCTGTTGAGGGGTTCTCCTCGGTGTTCATGAAACCCTCAATCAAGTGAATCAATTCATATGTTTTGTCCAAGTTGAACCATTTTTTTATCTGTTAGAATGTAAACATCTTATAATACCCTACTAAGCCAAAATTATCTAGCCATTTAGTTTTCTAGATTTATTAGTGATATTATCAATCTTCCAGCTGTATCATATATATAGTTTACTAGCTTTACATGCCCAAAATAAGCCCTTCGAGAATAGGAACCATTTTAGTAGAAGGCCCAAAGGATGTTAATGTTAAAGTACCATGCTCTAATCTATGACAGCCTCCAGATCTTTCCCTTTCCTTGAAAATATCTCTTGACCCTCAAATATGTAAGTAGAAAAATATTTGAATGTCTCGAATCATGAACCTTTCAACTCGTTACTCTATTAACAAAACCAGACTGACCAAATGGTACTTGTGTCGACTGTATATAGTGTCCCAAATTAAAGAGATGCAACACCTTGGAGTTAATA